ATCGAATGCCCGATAAGAAAAGGGAGATGGAATAAGAGAGGCCCCCGACTCCACCAACCCCATTGCAACACCCCGCAACCCATTGCCAACACCGCCACCCATTGCCACCACGCCAATCCCCGTTGCAACACAACCCCATTGCCAACAAAGCAACCCATTGCAACACCGCCAAGCCATTGCCACACGCGAACCCATTGCCGCCACCACCGCAATCCGTTGCCAACCGCCAACCCATTGCCACACCGCCAACCCCATTGCCAACACCCGCAACGCCATTGCCAACACGCCAACCCACTTGCCAACCGCAACCCCATTGCCAACACCGCCAACCCATTGCCACACCGCCAACGCCCATTTGCCAACACGCCAACCCCATTGCCAATACCGCCACCCCATTGCCATAACACCGCAACCCCGTTGCCAACACCGCCAATCCCGATTGCCAAACGCGAACCATTGCCAACACCGCAACCCATTGCAACACCGCCAACCCCATTGCCAACACGCCACCCCATTGCCAACACGCCAACCCCATTGCCACACCGCAACCCATTGCCAACGACCCATTGCAACACCGCCAACCCCATTGCCAACACCGCCAACCCCATTGCCAACACGCAACCCCATTGCCACACCCATTGCCAACCCGCACACCATATCCAACCACCACCAACCGCCACCTTTTCCAACACCACTTTGAACAACACCATCGCCAGACGGGCACCACACTCAGCGCCTTCTGTGGCCACCCAACACCCTTTCCAGCACCTCTTCCAACACCACCAGCCACAACACCCTTTCCAACACCGCTTCCAACCGCGCGCAAAGTCCACCTGCCACAACAACCTTTTCTAAAACCATTCCCAAAACCATCCATCCAACACCTTTCGAACACCGCCAACCAAAAAAACCCCTTTCAATACCGCCACCCAACACCCTTTCCAACACCACCAGCCATAACAACCTTTCCAAAACCATTTCCAACACCTCTTTCAACACCACCAACCACAACACCACCACCAACACCCTGTCCCAAACCCCTTCCAAAACCATTCCCAAAAACCACCACCCAACACTCTTCCAACACCACCACGAACACCGCCCAACCATTTCTAACACCACCCAACACAACACCACCCTCCAACACCCCTTCAACACACCCTTCAACACCGCCACCAACACATCCTTCCCCACACCACCAAACACAAACACCCTTCCAACACCAACACCCCTCCAACCACCGCTTCCAACCGACGCGCAAAGCCCACCTACCACCGGTTACGGTCCATCCACGGCGACATTCCGCCCTCCGCCCCGCCCCTTTCGCGTCGCCAACTTCGCCTCAAGAAAAAAGGGTGAAGGTGACTCGCCAAAAAGTGTAAGTTGGTATTAGCGGAATGAGATGTCATCCCAGCACGAGCTCCCCCCTTCTCCCCCCTCTCGCCCCCCCCTCTCCCTTCCCGAGCACCCTTCCTACACATCTCGCCCTCCCTTCTCCTCCTCTCCCTCTTCCCCTCCTCCTCCCCCTCTCCCTCCCCAACCCCTTCCTCTCCCCTTCCTCCTCTCTCCCCTCTCTCCCACCCCCTCTCCCTCTCCTCTCCTCCCCAACCCTCCCCCTTCCACACCATCTCGCCCTCCCCCTCTCACCTCTCCCTAACCCTCCCCCTTCCCACACCATCTCGCCCTCCCCTCCCCTCCCCCCCCACTTTCCTTCTCTTATTTCCCTTTTCTCGTTCGAGCGACCTTTTTCTGGAGGGGCGGGATCGGTATTAAAAACGAGAGATGAAAATTACAGAGACGGAGAGAGGAGGAGGGAGGGAGGGAGGTAGGGGAAGGGAGGGAGGAGAGGGAGGGGGAAGGGGAGAGGAGGGAGGGAGGTAGGGAGAGGGAGGCGAGGGAGGGAGGAGAGGGAGGGAGGGGAGGGAGGGAGGGAGGGTAGGAGGGAGAGAGGAAGGAGGGAGGGAGGGGGAGGGAGAGGGGGAGGGAGGGAGGGAGGGAGGTGGGGAGAGGAGGGAGGGGGTAGGGAGGGAGGGAGGAAGGTAGGGAGGGAGGGAGGAAGGTAGGGAGGGAGGGAGGAAGGTAGGGAGAGGCGAGGGAGGGAGGTAGGGGAGAGGGAGGGAGGGAGGGGAGGGAGGGAAGGTAGGGAGAGTAGGAAGGAGGGAGGGGGGAGGAGAGGGGGGAGGGAGGGAGGGAGGGGAGGGTTAGGGCAGTAGGGAAAGGAGGGAGGGAGGGAGGAGGGAAGGGAAGAGGGAAGGGGGAACGGAAGAGGGAGAGAGAGTGAGAGCGAGAAGGGGAAAAAGGACAGGAAAGAATAAAAGAAGACAGGAGGAAAAGTGCGAGTGAGACAACAATATTATAAAAGAAACAGAAAAAAGAAATGAATTTAGCAATACATTAAAGGAAAAGAAAGAGAAAAATGACCCCTCCTGCACAAAGAAAAAGTCACATAGGCCAGACTGCTGTTATCAAAACCTCTTTTTAAACCCCCAATCAAAATAGGGGAAGAAGAGAGAGAGAGGCGAGAGAGGGAAGAGGGAGGAAAGGGAAAGGAAAAGAGGCGAAGAGGAGAGAAAGGCGAGAGGGAAGCGGGGAAGAAAAAAAGGGAAGAGGAGGAGAAGAAAAAAAAACAAAAAAAGAAGGCGATGAGCGGGGAGGAGGAAAAGGAGATTGAGGAGAAGCGAGAGAAGGAAGAGGGAAAGAAAAAGAAGAGAGAGAAAAGCGAGAGGAGGGAAGAGGGAGGAAAGGGTGAGGACGAACGAAAGGGTCGAGAGAATTATNGGAGAGGAAGAGAGAGATAGAAGAGAGAGAGAGAGAGGAGAGAAGAGAGAGAGAGAGAGAGAGAGAGAGAGAGAGAGAGAGAGAGAGTGAGAGAGGAGAGGGAGGGAGACGGAGAGAGAGAGACTAGCAGCCCGAAAGAGAGAGAGAGAGAGAGAGAGAGAGAGAGAGAGAGAGAGAGGCGAGAGAAGGTGCCAGTGGTCAGGTATAATTATTGTCGGCGGATCAAAGAGCAAAAGAGCAGCCCGGCCGCAGGTGTTCCTCGCTCGCCTCCTTCTCTTGTCCTTCTTTTCCTCTTCTCTTTTTCTTTCCTTTTACTCCTCTTAACTTTATCTTTTGTTGTCCTTCTTTTCCTCTTCTCTTTCTTCTTTTCCTTTTCCTCCTCTTCTTATTTCTTTTCTCGCCCCTATCTTTTCTTCTTCCTCCTTCTTCTTGTCCATTCTTTTCCTCTTATTTAATTTTACTTTTATTTTATTGTTCTTCTTCCTTCTTTTTCTCTTTTATTCCTTTTTTCTTGTCCTTCTTTTCCTTTTTCCTCTTCTCTATTCCTTTCTTATTCCTTTCTTGCTCCTTCTTTTCTTCTTTCCTTCCTCCTCTTGTCCTTATTTTCCTCTCCCCCTCTTCTTAGTATTTCTCTTCTCTTTCTTCTCTTCATCTTCTTATTCCTTTTCTTGTCCTTCTTTTCTTCTTCCTCCTCTTCTTGTCCTTATTTTCCTCTCCCTCTTCTTAGTATTTCTCTTCTCTCCCTTCTTTATTCCTTTCTTGTCTTCTTTCTTCTTCCTCCTCCCTGTCCTTATTTTCCTCTTCCTCTTCTTAGTTTTCCTCTTCTCTCCCTCTTCTTATTCCTTTCTGCCTTCTTTTTCTTCCCCTCCTCTGTCCTTATTTTCCTCTCCCTCTTCTTAGTATTCCTCTTCTCTCCCTCTTCTTATTCCTTTTCTTGTCCTTCTTTTCTTCTTCCTCCTCTTCTTGTCCTTATTTTCCTCTCTCTCTTCTTAGTATTCCTCTTCTCTTCCTCTTCTTATTCCTTTTCTTGTCCTTCTTTTCTTCTTCCTCCTCCTCTTGTCCTTATTTTCCTCTTCCTCTTCTTAGTATTCCTATTCTCTCCCTCTTCTTATTCCTTTTCTTGTCCTTCTTTTCTTCTTCCTCCTCCTCTTGTCATTCCTTTCCTCTTCCTCTTCTTATTTCCCCTCTTCTCTTCCTTCTTTTCCTTCTTTTCTTTTCTTTCTTCATCCTCTTCTTGTCCTTCCTCCTTTTCCTCTTATTCCTCTTCTTGTCCTTCTTTTCCACACATACACACACACGCATACACATATATATATGTGTGTGTGTGTAGGTTTTCGGGTGTGTACAGTACATGTACATAAATACATACATACATACATATATATATATATATATATATATATATATATATATATATATAATATATATATATATATATATATATATATATATATTATAATATATATATAATATATATTATATATATATATATATATATATATATATATATATATATATATATAATACATACAGCATAATACACAACAACACATATATATATATAATATATATATATATATATATATATATATATATATATATATATATATTATATATATATATATATATATATAATATATATACATATACATATACATATACATATAATATACATACATATATACATATACATATACATATACAATATACATATACATATACACATATACTATACATATACATATACATATAATATACATATACATATACATATACATATTATACATATACATACATGCAGAGAATCTAAGGACGCACACACGTAAATATAGACACAACCCACATACGCCCCCCCCCTCCCCCACCCCCTCCCACACGCGGCTCTGTCTGCCCTCAACCGGAAGTCCGGATGACGCAGCAATGACCCCTGATGACCTCACTTGCCTCGACTTCGTGTTTGTGTGAAAAAGGCATTCGGGTGAAACCCTGAAGAGAGAGAGAGGAGATAAATGGATAGATAGAGGGAGAGAGAGAGAGAGAGAGAGAGAGAGAGAGAGAGAGAGAGAGAGAGAGAGAGAGAGAGAGAGAGAGAGAGAGAGAGAGAGAGGAGAGAGAGAGAGAGAGAGATGTATATATGTAAGACACATAAGCATATAGATATATGGACATATAGATGCATATAAAGTTAGATACATAGAAAGAAAGATAGACATATAATATATATATATATATATATATATATATATAATATATATATATATATATATATATATATATAGATATAGAGAGAGAGAGAGAGAGAGAGAGAGAGAGAGAGAGAGAGAGAGAGAGAGAGAGAGGAGAGAGAGAGAGAGAGAGATAAAGAGACAGAGAGACTGAGAGAGAGAGAGAGAGAGATAAAGAGACAGAGAGGGAGAGAGAGAGATAAAGAGACAGAGAGACAGAGAGAAATAAAGATACAGAGAGAAATAAAGAGACAGAGACTGAGAGAGACAGAGAGAGAGAAAGAGACAGAGAGCTGAGAGAGTGACAGAGAGAAGAGAGAGACAGAAAGAATAAGGAGACAGAGAGAAATAAAAAGTCAGAGAGACTGAGAGAGACAGAGAGAAATAAAGAGACAGAGAGAAATAAAGAGACAGAGAGAGATAAAGAGACAGAGAGAAATAAAGAGACAGAGAGATGAGAGAGAGAGAGAATAAAGAGACAGAGAGACTGAGAGAGACAGAGAGAAATAAAGAGACAGAGAGACTGAGAGAGAGAGAGAGAATAAAGAGAGACAGAGAGACTGAGAGAGAGAGAGAAATAAAGAGACAGAGAGACTGAGAGAGAGAGAGAAATAAAGAGACAGAGAGACTGAGAAGAAATAAAGAGACAGAGAGACTGAGAGAGAAATAAAGAGAGAGAGACAGAGGACTGAGAGAGAAATTAAGAGAGAAATAAAGAGACAGAGAGACTGAGAGAGAGAAATAAAGAGACAGAGAGAGATAAAGGACAGAGAGACTAGAGAGAAATAAAGAGACAGACTGAGAGAGAAATAAAGAGACAGAGAGACTCAGAGAGAAATAAAGGACAGAGAG